TTGTTGTTTAATGCCACACTCAGCAATACTCCAGGTATGTGGTGGCAGTCTGTAAATAATTAAGTCTGGACCAGACAATCCAGCGACTGACATCACAATCTCCACAACTGGATACAATCACATGTGTCAACAGAGTCTGCTAGCCTGACTCCCTGATCCTGTAGGTCGTCTCTTACTTGCTGAAGACCAATTCTAACCTGGATCTTCTCTTAGTTTGAGAGCTTCTGTTATTCATTACCTCTGCATGTCACTGCCTGGGGCGCTTCAGTGTTCTGCATGTCGAGTTAATCCACCCAACATGTCCAGTTTATCCCTCTCGGTCACTCACTCAGATGAAAGGAATATATATTCAAGTTGTGCCATTTTAAAAGCAATGTTATGCAAGATCAGGTCAGGTTAGGTCATTAGGGGGCCACACATTTGCTGTGCAAGCTGTTTTCATATTTTATATTATTGGTGTCACTATTAAGTGTTCTGCTGAGAGAGATTGTGGCCTTCTGTCATTCCTGTAAATGAAACCTTCACTCAAAGGTAATTTCATAGATAGTACATGTGCCTCCTCAAAATGTTGCACTTTCAGTGGGGACTGAACTACTATTTGACAGCAAGCGTATTGTATCTTCACTTCTCTGACACGTGTTGCAAACATGGAAGAGAAATACTGCAGTGTGGGGATGCTAAGCCAAAAATATCTAATTTCCATTGAGGGGCATATTATTGTTGATCTCAGGTACTTGCATCTGGGTCAGGTTCTGAGACATTTGAGAGTGGTGTTGTGTTCTAACTGCCATTCTCCAACACTCATGATGTACACTTGATGAAAATTCTACCATTACACTGAAGAATGCTTGATTCTGATCATGGTCATAGCAACATTAAAATCAGGTATCTAATTCCATTAATACATGACACTTTTTGTGGATAGCAACTTTTTTTTTCTTTATCACACAGTGATTATTTACAAACTGCTGTCATATAGCTGGAATATTGCTGAGGGTGGCATTTAACAACAAACAAACAGACATTACAACTGTTGCAAATTCCACACTTTCACATGGGCTATGGTAGACATAGCATTGTATTGTTGTAGTGATGAGGGGGGCCCAGTTGTCTAAGGTGCCGCGATTCGCTGTGCAGAGTTGCGTGCCTTGGGCATGCCAGAAACCTATGATTGTGGGTTCGAATCCCGGTTCGCCCCGATTGTGTTTCTGGGTTTGTCAGCACCTTACCTGTGCTCGTGGGTTTCACCGAAGTGGTAAAAGTCAGACCTGCATCACTTCGGGCTTTCCTCCCACATTAAGCTTACACACCGGGATATAACTGGAATACTGTTAAAAGCGGAGTTAAACCCGACTCACTCACTCACTCACTCACTCACTCACTCAGGTCCTCACCATACCTATCTGTAATGACAACATACATATTCTTCAATAGACTTGAACATCTTAACCAGAGACAACTTTCTGACATGTGATGTCGCTCTTCCTCTTGTTTCAAATATGATCACACAATAAAAACTAAAAGCTCATTTACATAGCATTGTATTGTTGTTTTGATGAAATTATGAAGGTCCTATAAATACATCATAGGCTCGGGGGTAGGCTTTTTTGTTGTTGTCAATATTAATTTTAGATATTGATATTTACCCCCTAGCATATAATGCAGGGGGATATAGTCATCATCTGTTTTTCCTGTCAGTCTGTCTGTCCATCCATCTGTCCATCCGTATTTCATTTCCAGAGCATAAATTGAAAACCATGAAAGATTTTTCATCCAAACTTGGTACATGTATTTACCAGGGGCTGAAGTGTTGCCTTTTGCTATTGAGCAGGCTGGGGGGGATTTGTCATCTTCTGATGACTCCTGTCTGTGCAAGAGTTGCATCATAACAATGATTGTGTCCATTTATTGCCAGGGATGATTCTTTAAAACAATTTACAGTCATTTGAGGAGTTGGATCATGTCAATTAGGGCTTTAAAAGTATGGGTACACATCTGTTTATACCCCTCAGGTAGCTATTTGTGGTGGGATGATCCACCAGTGCATCGGTGGATCGCGATTTTTTACTTCTCGATACAAGTATCCATCACAGTCACACACTAAGTAAAATATATCAATTAAATCTTTGCTTTACTGTTCCACTAAACACTAATCAGTAGTGCAAGTTAATAGTGAAAACATGAATATTTTCATTGGTTGTGCCATTCTTGAAGCTGCCAACTGTAAATCATCAGTGTGCCAGGTATTTGGCCATCCTGTCTATAAAAAAGGGGGCTTATGCACCACACATAAGAGCACATGCAAGTATCGTGATACATATCGGATCGTGAGTAAGGTATCGTAATACGTATCGGTTCACACAGTTGGTGTCCCAGCCCTAGTAGCTAGGCCTTCCCCATCCTCTTCACCAGCCCAAGCCCTCGACATACCTAGCGGTAATGACAACATACATATACTCCAATAAACTTGAACATCTAAACCAGAGACAACATTCTGACATGGGACGTCACGCTTCCTCTTGTTTCAAATATGATCACACAAAAAAAATTGAAAGCTCATTTCCATAGCAAAGACAGAAAGAAAACCTGTGTTGAAATGCAGTGTTGACAAGGGCCTGTGACAGAATAAGAGTTAGTTGGACAAATATTGAACAAATTCACCTCTGTTTGCATGAACTACATACATGTCTTTGAGCTCATCTTACGGACACTGACAAATTCCAGAGCAATTTAGGCTTTTGCAAACTCACTATCGCCAGCTCTTTATCAAGTGGAGTTTCCTAGCTTTTAATGAATTTACTAAGTCAGTGAGAATCTCTTGTCCGTAGTCCTGGGCCCACTTGCACAAAGCGGTCTTAGCGCTAAGATGATCGTAACTCCCATACTTTAACATATAGGCTTACGATAGTCTTAGCGCTAAGATCGCTTTGTGCAAGTGGGCCCTGGTAGACTATTTCTTCTTCTTTTCAAGCAAACAGGAACTGGTTCACTCTTTCCTTCCGTGGAGTTTTGTGGTTATTAATGAGTTATTGGTTTTCATCGTGTATAATTAGGATCTGTATGTAATCAATTTACGCTAATTATTCTGACTCGTTTCCCTCATAACATTGTGGCTCAACTGTTCATGTTGGAGGATAATTTAACACAGTTTAAGCTCTCAAACTTCTAAACTAACATCTTTAGTTTCACAGGAGAGAACAGCTATCTTTTTCAGGAAGACAGCCTCATTATTTTGTGGGCCATCACGATAAAACTGACATTTGTCCCGACTAGTACAAGCAGCCACACACACATATGCATACATGTCGCTATATAAGTGCAATAATCTTGAACGCAACGTTAAAACCCCATTTCACCTCACCTACAAAGTATCAGGGTCCCATTCCACAGTTAACAATAGTGAAGGAGTAAGTTAATGCTTTACGTCACATTGGCAATATTTCGGCCATATCGTGACGAAGTTAACAATAGAACTGAGATGATTTTAATGCCTATACTTTAACATGGACTTCTGACAGTCAGAAGGCGAAGGGATGGGACCCAGATCTTTAACTCATAGAGAATCTCACCTGAGAGTCTGTTGATATCAAATATAACAACATGAGTTGATACAAGCTTTTATCGACAAGTGTTATATTATATTTCGATATTTGATATCAAAAGACACATGGATGAGATTTTGTTTGTCATCAAAAATAATCCTTCCAACCTTTTCATTTTGGAAACAATAATAACCAACTTGTCTAAATGTAAAAAGTACATCGAGCCATTTTCAGTGGCAGAGATATTAGTGATGTCATTTGATTGTGATGTCATGGTAACCAATGGTTACTTTGGGTTAATGTATCATCATTCAAGGATATATCAATGTTAAAAGGCCTCTGCATCATTTGGTTGTTGCTTTTGTGTCAAACAAACTATCATCCTATCCTTGATACAGTTGCTCTGTTGGGTTGGTAGCATTCAGCCGCCAGAAACCTGGCATCCAAACACATTCATCAATGATTAACACATTCATCAATGATTAACACATTCATCAATAATAACACATTCATCAATAATAACACATTTATTAATAATAACACATTCATCAATGATAAACACATTCATCATTGATAAGCACATTAATCAATGATAAACACATTCATCATTGATAAGCACATTAATCAATGATAAACACATTCATCATTGATAAGCACATTAATCAATGATAAACACATTCATCAATAATAACACATTCATCAATAATAACACATTCATCAATAATAACACATTCATCATGATTAACACATTTATCAATGATAAACACATTCATCATTGATAAGCATTTTCATCAATGATAAGCATATTCATCAATGATAAACACATTCATCAATGATAACACATTCATCAATTATAACACATTCATCAATGATAAACACATTCATCAATGATAACACATTCATCAATTATAACACATTTATCAATGATAAACATTCATTATTGATAAGCATATTCATCAATAATAAACACATTCATCAATGATAAACACATTCATCATTGATAAACACATTCATCAATGATAAGCACATTCATCATTGATAAAGATATTCATCAATGATTAACATATTCATCATTGATAATGCATATTCATCAATGATAAGCATATTCATCAATGATTAATACATTTATCAATGATAAACACATACGTCAATGATAAATGCATACATTAATGATAAACACATCCATCATTGATGAACATATTCATCAATGATTAACACATTCATCAGTGATAAACATTATCAATGATAAGCATATTCATCAATGATAAACACATTCATAATTGATAAACACATTCATCGTGCCAGTATCGAACAAACCTGACTATTTGTGTGTTCAAATCTTCACTTTTCTACTAACTGGTCACTGCTATGAAAAGCCTTGCACACTACATGATATCATGAAGAATTGTTATGTTTTTCAACCTATTGATAGACTTATAATATTGTTGTTTATTTCAGTCGCTGGATGGATTTGCCTTTGCTCTTGCAAATGATGGTCGATTCCTGTACATATCAGAAACAGTGTCTATATACCTTGGTCTTTCACAGGTAAGAACATAGATAATAGTTTCGTAGGGCAAAAAAACAGCCTTTTACTTTACAATGTGTATTGGGGCATCAAAATAGAAGCTATTTTTTTAATTTCTTTATTATTGTTTATGCATCTTGGATGGACTCCCATTATGTTCTTAGTGCTGATATATGTAGATATGACAGGTGTTTCTGCCTGCACATGAAGTCAACTCTGACGAAACATGGAGTACACGTAAATATGACCAGACATGCTGATACTGGTAAGTCCTAAAAGATGTAGTGGTTCGGATAGGGCCCACGTGCCCAAAATGATTGTAGCACTATGACCAGTGTAAGTCATTGTTAAACAATGGGAGTTACAATAGTCGTAACACTGAGATACTTTTGTGCAAGTAGACCCAGGAGCAGGCAGACGGGCAATGTGTCTTGTTGTTTATGGAATATATATTTATGTTGAAAAGTCATAACAAATATGCAGTTAGAGCAGTATTTTTGAAGTTTTAGCAGAGAAAGTCAGTACAATATTAAGAAGAGGGACTTTATTATCAAGTTACATGGGGTCACCAGAACCATGGCCTTGGTTCAAGTCCTGAAGATATATTACGATTGAGGAGATTGTGAGAAACTAATGGCCATGGAAAGTTCGTTTAAAATCTGAAAGTTTTGTCAGAAGGAATGGACTTCTCTATGAAATGAATATCCGCAGAACATCATGCTGTGAATTTTCGACTTGTATTGACATTAAACAGACAAATGATCGTCCATGGTTGAAAAAGCTGCTGAAGTGAAGATGGTTCGATCTTGTTGAAATACGACTCCAGTGTTCAAGTAATCATGTAAATAGATGAAGGAAGGTTGCAAATAAATTCAAACACTGCTTTTGGAGTGTCCAAGAAGAGAAATGGGTCCTAGATTTATGGTAACGAATGATTGATCTTGGTTCTGATATGGAGGGGAAAAGTAGTCCTAATCAAGGCAGATAAAACCAGGAAAACAGCTTTTAGGAGAGCTGTTGATAAATAATAGCCATCAACTCCACAAACAAACGTTACCAAAATTGTCCAAATCACTTTTGTCATCGAAAATGGTGGAAAATTAATCAAATCTAATTCGATGATGCCTCCCTTGGTGCTGCAGTTGATTGCGAAGATGCCGAAAATTAATAATATCAGAGTTATCAATCTTTGGGAAGAAATAACATTACAAGCCGTGGAGTCATTTAAACGAGACTTAATCAAATTCCAGAAACAAAGTCCACCCCTCCATGATGTTTCTATAACCCAGTAAACCGGTTGATTTGCCGAGTTTTGCAGAGATCGTCATCTCCAGAGACTCCATGTTTAAAACTCTGGGCACATTCTGCCGGCATGGTAGAAGAACGATGAGAGGGAATTGTGGGCTTTTAGTTTATTGGCCCAGGGGGAACCAGGTAATGAGACCTTCAATTGTCACTTGGCAGGTCCCAGGGAGCACTTCATTCGGGGCCTTGACATCACGGGATTAATCGCCCCCTGAGACTTTCCGACTGCAAATGGAAACCTCTTGAGCCAGGGTCTGCCCCTGACAGGGCCATAATTGTCATCAGCGCACCCTTGCGGGGCCCTGAGATTGACCCGCCAATCAATTAACAGTTGGTTTGAGGTCTCATTGTACCTGCCGATAATAACGTCTACTTCTGTATGTGTTAGACACAGACCATCACTCAGGATGCTTTCTCAACTTACAAATTTGGGAATCTGTTTGTTTTGAGACTATTTCACTGACATGATACAATCACGTGGACTGAGAGAAGTTTTTTTTTAATGCAATGAGATGCTGCCCCCTGGTGTCAAGTTTTCATGGTCTTGGTACTCTTTGTAGCTTGACTTGAAATTTGCTGAAGTTTGATGTTTTAGAGATGTTTAACTATGAAAGTTTCATTTGTGTGAAACTACACTTTACAGTTATGATATAATGCCCTCAATGTTGCTATCAAAGTTCTTGATCGAAAATTGGACAACTACACGATAGATAACGATAAAAAAATGAAAAATGAAACATGAACGGGTCTAAATAGCACTGATTTAATCAGTTCACATCATTAGTGACGGATAAAGCCGATTGTTGGATTAACGAGTGTCGGGTTAATGAGATATACTGTATTTGATAACATGTTTTGTTTGGGGTTTTTTATTTCAAATTTTTCATGAGCAATTTGTGTAAATATTGGTACTTGAAAAATTCACTGATGCTTGTTTCCCGGACGATAGAATTAAAATATGACCTGCAAAGAATTCCAAATTATGTTATATTATCTGTACTGAATGAATGAATTAATATTGTGTGTCAAGAACCTTGATGAGGGACTTTCAACATTTATTCATGAGGCACCAACAACCCATAAATCTGATTGGTAGAATGTTGAAATATATGGGTTTCCTGATGATGTGATCAGTAAAACAGACATCACCTTGGTCAATTTATTACTAACATTACCCTACATTAAGTCATCTGTGATGTAAAACAATTTATGACATGATCATCCATTATTACATTGCCTCGGACTGTTTCACAAACAAATAAACTACAGAAGTGAACAATAGGCATGAACTAGCCAATCAGCATGATGCATACTTTTCAGTGATTTACTGAATCCCCAGAGGGTAATATCACAACATATGTGATTGTATCTTATCATGTGTAATTCCATATTCATGCAAGGATATCACCAAATATTTGATAACCTTTTTTTAAGAGATTCACTTAGATCAAAAGAATTGCAGCAGTTTTCATTATCAATTTTACTTCATCAAATACCAAATTTGATCATGTGGTCAGGAGTGATTGGAGGTTTATGTCCTTGAAACTTTGAAATGATTGTTATAAGAAAAATACAAACAAAAAGAAAAAGAGCATATTTTCATTCAAACAGTATTTCAATTATTTATTGTTTTTTAAACTTAAATTAATGGATATGACTGAGGTCAACTGTCACGTGACTACTGAACTTTTAAATAGATGTATTTATTATTCTATCAACTAAATAGGATCAAACATGTGATAATGCTTTATCTTGTTGTGTATGTACAATAGTCATTTCATTATAAAAAATGTTATCAATAATGCAGCTGTCACCTGATTTATAGTTGGTAAATAGTAACTACAAAGAAACTATATTATCATCCAAAACTGGCTCCATCAGGAGATATCGCTTGGGTGAGATCAAGCGATATCTACACTGTAGATATCGCTGCAATGAAATTGCATCACAATGCTTTGCAGACCATTGTGACGTCATTGGATACCATGACATCACAATGAAATGACATCACTAATGGCTCTGCTACTGAAGCTGTTAGCAGTACTTTTTACACTTAAGACACTGCTTATTACTGTCTACAAACTGAAAAAGTTGGAAGAATGATGTTGGATGATAAATAAAATCTCACCCTCGTGTCTTTTGATATCAAATATATCAACACTCCGAGTTTTCCCACTTTTATCAACTCGTGTTGATATATTTGATATCAAAAGACGAGAGGGTGAGATTCTCTATTTTTGTAAACCATGAAATTTATACAAAAATCTTTTATGAAGGCCATAAGCATTTTGCTCCATTGCTCCATTGGTCTCAATCCACATTCAGCTCTGTCCGTTGAAAGTAGCACTTGTGATTGGTGGAATTTTTATGTGACTTAAATTCAGATTTGATTAATCTGTTGGCTCTTCAGGTCATGAGGTATTTGCATAATCTTCAGCATTTGACAAGAAGGGGTCATCAATTCTCCTAGTTTAGCTATGCAGCCTGTAGGATATGTGAAAGAATCTTAAAATAAAATGTGATTTACAACTTGATTAAATTATCCAAATGGTTTTTTTAGCTGATGTATTTTGTTCACCATAACCATGGTAACAAATGCTAATTTCTGTATTCTGTTCTTCTTATTGTAAATTTCAAATGTGTTTACAAACAAATTTCTTAGATTGTTCTCCCAACCCACTTTTATTGGTCTACTCACCAAAAGTATGAACAATACCATTTTTAATAATATTCTGCTGGATTTCATTTTATTCAAAGAACATGTCCAAAGGAAATACTTACCTTGTGAATTATGAAATGAAAACAAAATCTTTCGGAAAGAAAATGTCAGTTCAGTTCTGCGCACTGAAAGTTGCAGTTATGATTCCTATCCATTTTCGTGTAAATGAGAATGACAGTGTGGCATTTCTGACCATCTTGATTAAGCAAACAGTGGACACTGCCTGAGATGTGCACCCAAAGACCGCCGTATCTGCAGTGAGCAGTGGAACAGATTGTCAATTAGTGAATGGATGGACAAGAGCAGTGAGTTAGATAATGTCCCTACTGAACATCATGGCCACAGCCATCACTGTCAGAGGTCTCCTTACAATGACGTAATGTGGAGATGAAGCAGGCACTGTCTTGTACCGACTCATTTAGCGTCAGTGTCACTTTAAATGGTTACCTTCTACTGACAAAAATAGTGGAATTATGCATTTTACTGTAAGCCTCAAAGTTTTTCACACTGCAGTGATACTTCTTAGAGGGGCATAGACTTCTTTATTACAATTAGGAGAGACGTTGCATTGTAGGTTCTAACACTGTTATCAAGAAAGTGATACATATATCAGTCAATATCAAGTATCATTACCTGCCCTTTACTCAGGGGTGAGAATCTTCCACAGTGACCACCAATTTGTTAAAATCTCATGGCTTCCCCCTACACCCCCCAAAATTATGGACCACGCTCCTTTACAAAGAAGTTTCAGCTGAAAAAGAAAATATCCGTTCTCATCCCTCTATACTAAGATTATTATTGGACTTTTAAGACCAAATTCTAGGGATAGTAATGAGATCAGCCTGTACCTATATCAAATGTTTTTGAAGCAATTTTACTAGCTAGTTAACACTTAGTTATCAGGCGAAGAGGCACCATGCATAAAACAGGTCTGGATTGCATAGAATGACACTAAAATGATTTTTGTTACACAAACTGATGTCATTTTACTTCAAATAATGTACTTGCAAATGTAAATAATAATTATAAAAAAGATGCTCTTTCTGAAAACCCAAACTCCACTCAATTAAGGTGTCTACCCTAATCCTTATTTACTGATTTTACAAATTAAATATGGTTCATGCAGTAATGATGGAAAATAATTCCTGCCCAGAATACCCACCTAAAATTAGGAAGTACATACCATGTAAAAGTTGTTGTTAAACACAAACTGTAACAGTTATTGTTGAAACAAACACTTTAAAAGTTATTGTATAACAAAACTGTAAAGGTTATTGAAAAACAAAAATATGTAAAATACAAATTTAACTGCTTGTCCTAAATGTCGAAAAAGATAAGCAACTGTAAATGTAAATGGTATTCATAACAGTGGTAAACTGTAAACTGTTCGATGACAAACAAAACCTTGGAAAAAAAGAAGATAAAAAAGTTGCTGTTTCACCATTAACTGACCAAATAAAACTTCAAGAACTCAAGAACCAGTTGGTATTCTATGTTTTTCTCAATACTGTTTATATATTTCCAGCATCACTTCTTTACTGGTGTCAGTGGATCTGAAAACCTTTAAATTAGAAACGTGTCACCCAACTTTTGAGAGTGGTGTTGCAATCGTCAAGCCGATTCTATGAGCTACCATTTGTTATCTGGTGCTGTTATCTGCCCTTCCAGAATCTTGCACTGAATGTTTAATAACTGAAACAAATGACAACATTAAGTGTTTTTTGAAGATTGAAAGATTAAGGATATTTTTCAGTTGATGTCACAACTTCTGATGGAATGTCAATGATAGATATTATTGATGTGAAATTTGAGAGTTTTGTCCTCTTGGTGAAGTAGAGAGTGTATTTTGGCTCCACAACATTTTGGGAACAATTATTAATCTTTGGGACAATGAGCCATCTACTGACTCAAGCTGATGGCAGTTGTGTGTGCATGTCTTTGGGATGGTGAGCCAACAGTTGCCTCCAGGTGTAGACAGTTGTGTGTGCAAGTCTTTGGGGTGAAGAGCCAACAGTTGCCTCCAGGTATAGACAGTTGTGTGTGCATGTCTTTGGGATGATGAGCCAACAGTTGCCTCCAGGTATAGACAGTTGTGTGTGCAAGTCTTTGGGGTGAAGAGCCAACAGTTGCCTCCAGGTATAGACAGTTGTGTGTGCAAGTCTTTGGGGTGAAGAGCCAACAGTTGCCTCCAGGTATAGACAGTTGTGTGTGCAAGTCTTTGGGGTGAAGAGCCAACAGTTGCCTCCAGGTATAGACAGTTGTGTGTGCAGGTTTTTGGGATTGTGAGCCAACAGTTGCCTCTAGGTATAGACAGTTGTGTGTGCAAGTCTTTGGGATGGTGAGCCAACAGTTGCCTCCAGGTGTAGACAGTTGTGTGTGCAAGTCTTTGGGATGGTGAGCCAACAGTTGCCTCCAGGTATAGACAGTTGTGTGTGCATGTCTTTGGGATGATGAGCCAACAGTTGCCTCAAGGTGTAGACAGTTGTGTGTGCAAGTCTTTGGGATGGTGAGCCAACAGTTGCCTCCAGGTATAGACAGTTGTGTGTGCATGTCTTTGGGGTGAAGAGCCAACAGTTGCCTCCAGGTGTAGAAAGTTGTGTGCAAGTCTTTGGGATGGTGAGCCAACAGTTGCCTCCAGGTATAGACAGTTGTGTGTGCATGTCTTTGGGATGGTGAGCCAACAGTTGCCTCCAGGTATAGACAGTTGTGTGTGCAAGTCTTTGGGATGGTGAGCCAACAGTTGCCTCCAGGTATAGACAGTTGTGTGTGCAAGTCTTTGGGATGGTGAGCCAACAGTTGCCTCCAGGTATAGACAGTTGTGTGTGCAAGTCTTTGGGATGGTGAGCCAACAGTTGCCTCCAGGTATAGACAGTTGTGTGTGCATGTCTTTGGGATGGCGAGCCAACAGTTGCCTCCAGGTATAGAAAGTTGTGTGCAAGTTTTCGGGATGGTGAGCCAAGCTGATGGTAGTTGTGTTTGCTTTTTCAGGTTGAGATGACTGGCAGCAGTGTGTTCGACTATGTGCATCAACAGGACCACCCTGAACTGGCAGAGCAGCTTGGCCTCTGTCTTCCACAAAGTGAGTTGCCACTACAACAAGCCGTATAGAATTGTCAGAAGATAGTGGCTATATACAGACTTAATAAATATGGCAGAATGTGTTTTGTATGCACACATCTTGTCATTGGGAGTTCAGTGATCGCATTTGGTGTATAAAGCATGCACTCCAATAAGCAGCCCCTGGTTTGTAAGTGTAATCTTTGTAAGTGTCCCAACTAAGACTGAACATGACAGTCTGTATTTTTGTGTGTATATTACAGATATTTTACAAGAAACAGAAGAGTGAAAAAGGAATGTAGTTGCCTAGTTACTATTATAAAAAAAGTTTCATTTTCACCGACGTTTGAACTAAGGTGGAGTGTAGGGGCATACCAGATACTAATATATCATGCAGAGACATTTTTCGTTGTTATGAAGCATTTATATTGTACACAGCAAAAAAACAATATTCTGATATATTATTAGGTGTTCCCTTACTTCATTCCCCCTGCATATATAACTTTTCCATAAAGAACAAAAATCCTTCATTGGAAACATGGAACATTTTGGGACTGCTGTGATGATGAAATGATTAGATCTAGAAAAAAGTTCATGTAGAGTATGAAAACTATTAATGCTAACAGAGGGTATTTGTCTTTCCTTGTCTAATAACTTTTATCTCAACGAGGGACCTGACAATACTGAATTATTTATATAATGTCAACTTTATCAGGGCACAAGAAAAGAAAGGACAATTGTTCTATTTATTATGTATTTTCTGGCTGATCTTCAAGATCTTACCCTGAAAACCATTATGGTATCCAAGCAGACTGAAAGAAGTTCCGGCATCAAGTGTTATTTTTTGTGCAAGTGAAATAACATGTTATTCACTCGAGTGAGATATCAATTTCATTTGTTGAGATAAATACAGTATTTTTTATCACTAGATGCATAATTTAGATTGATATTTAGAAACTGTAGTTTCAGCTAAGACAGAATTGATGTATGGATTTCAACTTTTGTTATATTCTTTCAATACGACATTTTTTGGTAGAGATGTTAGTACATTTACTAAACAAAATGTGCACTTTAGTAGGGTATGGAAATATGCTGGTGACATGAGAGCTGCTTTGTCTACAGAATATTTATTTGGATCATGCAAATTCAGATCGGTCAGAAAAACATGTGGTTAGCATTTTGCATATATTAACTGAAATTATTCAGTTGATAACAGGTTTTTTTGAGTGCTTATTTTGATATGGGCTGTGTCAACAGTTTGCCTGATTTCTACAAATAATTGTTTGGTTTGGTAAGAGTGCTCCTTTGCTTGTTGAGCTGTACAAATATAGATTGATTAGCAGAATATGAACATAGCGAGAGTGAGTTAAAATTGAATGTGTCAACAGACATATCTGAGTCATACAGCAGTCTAACACATACAACTGTCTCATGTGATAAAAGAAAATGTTCAGGATCAACAAATGTTCAGCTTTTATTTTGACAACTGAAGTTCATTTGCTATATAAAATTTTTAAACCATAGGATTAAAAAAGGTATTGCCTAGGTGTTCAGAGCCAAAACTGGCGATTATGTTTAGAACTACTTCCTTTTGACACATACCCTTGCAGTATAAGTCATGAGTCTCATCCCAGACCAGTCTTGTATTGCTGTGTTTAATTCTTTAAGTGTGGTGTACCAGTATTAAAGCTAGTATTTATTAAGCAAGTGATGCTTCTTAAAGATATTGACTGAGCATGGTTACAGTGTTGCCAAATTTGACACATCAGTGACAAAAATGATGTCTGATGCAATTCCCTATTTTTACTTGTAACATATGTTCCAGTGTTTTTTCAGGTGAACAATTTTTACTTGTCTTTGCATTTGTTTGTGATGGGTGCCATGGGTGGGACAGGATACTATCCCCTTTTTGCGAACACCTTGTATCATCACTCTTTGATAGTGATTCATAAACACATGCTCATGATACAGTTGGAATCGTACAATCGACTCTGCTTTTAGCAGAGATTTCTGATGAATAAGGAAAGGGTTTGGTTGCATTTTTTGTATAATTGATGATTTTGCTACAGACATATCAGGCAGCAACATCCCATCCCCTGGGTCCACTTCTGATGAGGGATCCTGCACCTCCAATGCTCCACGATCAGGCAGTCCGCCATTACATGACAGAGGTAGGTACCGGCCAGCTCAGATCTCTCGGGTCACACATCACTTGTTCCAGTACAAGGTACCAGATAGGGTAGCTCCACGATCAGGCAGTCCGCCATTACATGACAGAGGTAGGTACCGGCCAGCTCAGATCTCTTGGGTCACACATCACTTGTTCCAGTACAAGGTACCAGATAGGGTAGCTCCACGATCAGGCAGTCCGCCATTACATGACAGAGGTAGGTACCGGCCAGCTCGGATCTCTCGAGTCACACATCACTTGTTCAAGTACAAGGTACCAGATAGGGTAGCTCCACGATCAGGCAGTCCGCCATTACATGACAGAGGTAGGTACCGGCCAGCTCAGATCTCTTGGGTCACACATCACTTGTTCCAGTACAAGGTACCAGATAGGGTAGCTCCACGATCAGGCAGTCCGCCATTACATGACAGAGGTAGGTACCGGCCAGCTCGGATCTCTCGAGTCACACATCACTTGTTCACGTACAAGGTACCAGATAGGGTAGCTCCACGATCAGGCAGTCCGCCATTACATGACAGAGGTAGGTACCGGCCAGCTCAGATCTCTTGGGTCACACATCACTTGTTCCAGTACAAGGTACCAGATAGGGTAGCTCCACGATCAGGCAGTCCGCCATTACATGACAGAGGTAGGTACCGGCCAGCTCGGATCTCTCGAGTCACACATCACTTGTTCACGTACAAGGTACCAGATAGGGTAGCTCCACAATCAGGCAGTCCGCCATTACATGACAGAGGTAGGTACCGGCCAGCTCAGATCTCTTGGGTCACACATCACTTGTTCCAGTACAAGGTACCAGATAGGGTAGCTCCACGATCAGGCAGTCCGCCATTACATGACAGAGGTAGGTACCGGCCAGCTCAGATCTCTTGGGTCACACATCACTTGTTCCAGTACAAGGTACCAGATAGGGTAGCTCCACGATCAGGCAGTCCGCCATTACATGACAGAGGTAGGTACCGGCCAGCTCGGATCTCTCGAGTCACACATCACTTGTTCACGTACAAGGTACCAGATAGGGTAGCTCCACGATCAGGCAGTCCGCCATTACATGACAGAGGTAGGTACCGGCCAGCTCAGATCTCTTGGGTCACACATCACTTGTTCCAGTACAAGGTACCAGATAGGGTAGCTCCACGATCAGGCAGTCCGCCATTACATGACAGAGGTAGGTACCGGCCAGCTCAGATCTCTTGGGTCACACATCACTTGTTCCAGTACAAGGTACCAGATAGGGTAGCTCCACGATCAGGCAGTCCGCCATTACATGACAGAGGTAGGTACCGGCCAGCTCGGATCTCTCGAGTCACACATCACTTGTTCACGTACAAGGTACCAGATAGGGTAGCTCCACGATCAGGCAGTCCGCCATTACATGACAGAGGTAGGTACCGGCCAGCTCAGATCTCTTGGGTCACACATCACTTGTTCCAGTACAAGGTACCAGATAGGGTAGCTCCACGATCAGGCAGTCCGCCATTACATGACAGAGGTAGGTACTGGCCAGGTCTGATCTCTCCTGTCACACATCATGTGGGAAAGATGGGGTAGCTCTGAGGTCAACATGTTTGCGTACAAGACATTACCAATTTGTGTTTGATTCCTAAAGAGACATAACAAATAAAGCATATTTTTCTGAAAACATACTGAATGTTTTGTGGAGTACATAGTACTTTCAGTAACTGATAGTGACATGTCTATGATGGATACAGGTGTTGAGATGAAAAGAATACTGAAATACCACATTGTAACAGTGTGTGAAGTCATCCCACAGATGACATCCGTACCTTGTCAGCTTGCTAACAGGGTTAACCTCTGTGGTCATGTGGACAAGGCGTCTGACCTTAGATCAGTAGGTCCATGGTTTGAATCCCTGCAAAAAAGGTGCCTCCTTCTTATTGTATACACCTCCATGTTGGTGAGCTTAGGTGAAGGTCCCACGGGGAGATAACTCATTTCAGTAGTGCTTACCAACAACTGATATTTATCAAAGCATTGTGTAATGAGCATCAGAGAACTCAGAAGAGACATTTGTCAAAGTTCCAACATATTTTAATAACATGTGAAGGGTAGAAAGTAATTATGGCACCATGTTGGCAAATTCTGCTCTGAATGTTTAATGGAAAATATGGTCATGACCTTGGCTCCCAGACTAATAGCGATACTCTCAAATGTTATGTCTGCTTCAGTATTGTAAATATGAAGCAACAATCACAATTTGGTGTTTTCTATTGCAGGCTATGTGATGAACCCTAGTCCGAACAAAGGCTATGACAGGTGTTTCTGTTTGCGCATGAAGTCAACTCTGACCAAACGAGGAGTACACGTAAAGTGTGCCGGGTACAGGGTGAGCAGGACAATAGTTTCCACACAACTATAATGTACATGTCAGCTGTGTTGTGTCCTGAGACAGGCTGTCTCAGGGAACTGTAGATCATTAATATAAGAATTAATTTTCCAATTAGATATCTAGCTCAAAATTACAAGTGACGTAAGGTCTAAGGTGGTGCAATTTGCTCTACAGAGTTGCCTCCCTTGGTCTGTGAGAATAATACCAGTGTTGGTTTAACATGAATGGTAAATGTCTAGGATCTGGACTTGAAATACTGTTTGTAGTGACGTTAAGTGCAACTTGCTCTCTCACTATAAAAGCTTATTGTCGTCAGTATATACGTTATGTTATCTTCTTACTATTTTGTGAATGTTAAATGAAGCCCATTTCTAGAGTGTTTGAACTTTTATCCTGATGCTGATATATATATATATATATATATGCTTGGTGTTGCAGGTTGTGCATATTGTTGGACAGCACCGTCCCCAGTTTTCGTTTTCGGTGAATCGCAAGCATCCACCACCTGTCCTGGGGTTCATAGCTCTCGGGATTGCCCTTCCCCCGCCCACAATCACAGAACTGAGGATTGACAACGATACCTTTGTCATGAGATTATCACCTGACTTCAAAATCATCTATTGCGAACCTATGTGAGTTTAGAGATAATTATCTTTGCGAGGTACCATTTCTATTATTCTTTGATCAGGTACTGTAATTGTGAATTTATAGATGAAGAATTTTTTTTGTTTGTTGATTAAACTCCGCACTCAGCAATATTCCAGCTATATGACGGCGGTCTGTAAATAATCAAGTCTGAACCAGACGATCCAGTGATTGACATTATGAGCATCGATCCACGCAATATGAATATGATGACATGCATCAACCAAGTCTGACCACCCGATCCCGTTAGTTGCCTCTCACGACAAAGATAGTCGCTTCTTATAACAAGCATGGGTTGCTGAACACCTATTCTACCCCGGATCTTCACGGGTGTGTAGATGTATTTGTGTATTCCAATAGATGTACTGGTTATAACCCTAAGTCACTAATCTAAAACTGTGATGGCCACTTTCCTGTTTTTCTTGCATTTTGGTTCTATATACTTTTGGATTTTCAGTCACATAAAATGTCTTAACCATACCAAGGGTTGTCCTTAAATCATACCAGAGATAAGTGTTTCTTGAAGAGAGTTTGTTGCAAACATTATCGTAAAACACAAAATTTGTAGTGTGCTTTGAATGCTGTCTTTAATACTGTCTAGGCTAATTTATTTTTCAAATCAAATATTGGTAATGACATTTTTTATCAATATTAGCCCCAAACTTATCCAGATGATAGGCACTTTTCTGCGACAGAGTTGAAACTGTAAGGGAGTCTTTCTATCCACACCTTCTTCATTGCAGTGTCTCTGACCTGATGGACATCCAGGCGGACGACCTGACCAATGGCCTCCTGTATGACTTCTGTCATGCTGCAGACCTCCACAAGCTCAGGAAGGCACATGTAGACTGTAAGTTTAATTATACAGTCAAGTCTCATTAATCCGACACTCGCTAATCCGACAATCGGCTTTGTCCGACACTAATGATGGGAACCGATTAAATCAGTTCTATTTAGACCCATTAAACCGACAGTCTCGCACTCCCACTCCGACACAACTAATTTGCAAAGAATTTCTGAAATCATTCATTAATCAGTCCGTTAATCCGACACAGTGATCAGCGTACTCCGTGGTCATCTGCCCACGAGTACACAGCCCGTGATTCGATGCGAAACGAGTGAGCTGTTAGCTGCACATTACAACATCTATCGGATTTTCGATCATGAACATTGACACTACTTAATTTTGTTTATCCGACATACTCGTTTATCAACATGCAACCAACCATGTCGGTTTAACGGGACTTGACTGTACCTTTCTTGTGGTACTTAATACTTATTGGGAGTGGTAGGGTAGCCTACTAGTACAGTGAGTGAAGTCCATTGCTGGTATTCACCGCCATGTTATATCTGGCATATTTCTGCAGCATAAAACCTAACGTACTTACTCATGCATATAGTTGAATATGACCCACTTCGGCTTCTGAATATGGATGTCACAGTACGTTTACCTCACGTATCGATACATATTGCAATACTTGGGTCAAGATCAGGAAATTCTCTTATCCTATGTGGCCCGATTAGCAAATGGTTAATGCTTCGTTTTGTCCAGTTTGTGTTATGAGGGGTCCCCTGCGACGAAGTGGGGCTGGGGATACCGGAATCGGAGTTCATCCATCCGTCCGTCTGTCTGTCCTTCCTTCCATCCGCTTCTCAAAGGGGACAAATTTTCTCTAAAGTATTTCAGCTAGAGATATGAAATTTTACACACAAATATTACTGGTCATGATTGGAAAGGAGTTTGAAAACTGGTGTCTTTAATTCTTTTTGTACAGAGTTATGGCCCTTGCTCTATGCTTTTCAACTGCATGAAATGGGGAAAAGTTTTCTCAGAAACTACTGAAATTACATGAGCGACAGTTTGCGTGCTTATCTAAGAGATACTTTTCAAGACTGGTCCTGTAAACTATATTTTCTTCCCTTGCTGCATAATTCTAGGTTTTGAGCATACACAGTAAAAGCTCATGATCCATGTTATTTACAAAGTGCAGAGTGTCTGCAATGGGGACATGTTTTCTCAGAAACTACTCAAGTTAGCTTATCTAAGAGATACTGATCAAGACAGAGTTCAAGAATTGGTGCCATAAAAAAGAAATTCCAGAGAAGGGGGCTTTTTGTGTGTATTAATTTCCCATTTATCATTTTTTCTGATGGCATAAAGCAACCCTAGTTCCTATCTCTTCTTAAAGCTTTCCAGGACTCTTTTTTTCAAAGTTTATATTTACTACTATATGAACAGAAAATTTCTAATGTGCGCCATGTGGGGAGTAAGTGATAACGCTGTTTACCTGTTTAGTCCAATAGCAGAATGCAATCAAATATAGCATTCTGTATTGTGAATTGCGGTACAGTAACACTAGCCTGGGTAGTTGTCAGGCCCTGTGGTAGTCATAACAAAACAACACAAAAACAAACAAACAAACAAATAAGGTTAACAGTTGTGTTGAAAACTTCTTTCATCTGTCTGGATATACAGATATTTTATGGGTGTTTCATCTACTTTATATATTGAATGCACTGCATTGATCTAGAATGTACATCTCAAGTATCCTACTCTCTAATATCAAGAGAAAAGTTATGTTAAGGACACTTTTATTTTGGCAAGTTGATAAACAGAAACAAATTCAAATTCAGCTGAATTCAACCTTTTCTTTCATGTCTTAATCATTTTCAGTGTTAGCCAAAGGTCAAGTCTTGTCAGAGTATTATCGAGTGATGAATCGTCATGGCGGCTATGTCTGGATCCAAACCTGTGCTACAACCCTGTTTAATTCCAAAAGTATCGATGACCAAAATATCATTGCAATTAACTATGTTCTCAGGTAAGATATAAAATTCATCCATGTATTCTTTGATTGACCAAATATTATATTATCACTTTAAACAGAATTTAAGGAGAAAAATACCAGTTCCCGATGTCACTATATCATTCAATCCTGGACACTAATGGTTGAAAAGTCAAACTTAAACTGAATGATGGTATAAGTGTTGATTGCACTGATTGGCATTGATTTTTTCAATAAAAGTGTGTAAGTGTGGGGTGAGGGGGTATATATTTGTGACTGTGTTCCATTCATTGTGTTTTTAGAGAGGAGTTTGACAGTTTAAAAATGGCATGCAATTTCATTAGTTTAATCATAAATTTGAAACCTCTGCAACAACTGACTTAAGTGGTCATAACATGATTTCTGTTCTATGATGTTGCAGTGGTATAGAAAATGATCGGTTGGTGTTAGACTCATGGCAGCTAAATGGCAGGAGGACACTGGGGCCAGACCCCTCTGATCACAGCGACCCAGGGGAACTTGGATCTGATCCAGGTAAGCGACAAAATAATCCAAACTTGGGTTTTACTCAGTGATAAATTTAGCAAAGATGAAAATACTTGTCTTCTTCAATAATTTACACCCAGTTAGTATTCTAGGACAAAGTACCGCCCTATTACCCCATGCTTGTCATTGGAACTGGCAAATTGAGATGGTAACTATGTTTGAATGTCAGTGTGTCCATGAATGGTTACAATGTGTGACAGTATCAGTGTGTGAATAGATGGTTACAATGTGGGAGTATGTCATTGTGTCAATAGATGGTTACAATGTGTGACTGTCAGTGTGCCCATGGATGGTTACAATGTGTGACTGTGTCAGTGTGTCCATGGCTGGTTACAATGTGTGACTGTGTCAGTGTGTCCATGGCTGGTTACAATGTGTGGCTGTGTCAGTGTGCCCATGGATGGTTACAATGTGTGACTGTGTCATTGTGCCCATGGATGGTTACAATGTGTGACAGTGTCATTGTGCCCATGGCTGGTTACAATGTGTGACAGTGTCAGTGTGTCCATGGATGGTTACAATGTGTGACTGTGTCATTGTGCCCATGGCTGGTTACAATGTGTGACTGTGTCATTGTCAAGATTATAGGAAAGGCAGTTATGAGGCTGCATGTGAATAGAATAAGGCATCAAAATGAAAAAAATTGTATGACCTAAGAAAAATAATAAGGCATGTGAAACTTTGTTTAGAATACATTTTACTGTTCTATATTAACAGTGTTATACAATATTACATATTGCAGATTAAAATATATTGTTGACGTTTGATTCTTGTTACATGTTTCCAGTACTTTCATTCATGTTTGAATATCAGAGCTGACATCAAATTTTGTTAAGTGGCCATCTTTTTTGACATTTTAAACTGTTGACTACTTACCCAGTTGAGCTACAGTACCATAGCACCTGTTTCTCCTTGTTTCCCTTGTGGTGTTGTGATACTGATGTGGCACATTTCTCGTCAGTAACTTTCACACCTTGCTTTGTTTATTGTATTACAGAGTATTTATCATGTATGTATATGTATTTGTTGAATGGAAAAAAAGATGAGTATATGGCTACCAAACTGTAAACCTCCCAATGTTACAAGCGTTTGTGAACATTGTACTGGTGGAATCATAGTAGTTAAAATAGTACTGGGAGAAATCTTAGTCGTTAAAATAGTACTGGGGGAAATATAGTAGTTAAAATAGTACTCAGAGAAATTATAGTAGTTAAAATAGTACTGGAAAAATTATAGTAGTTAAAATAATACTGGGAGAAATATTAGTAGTTAAAATAGTACTGGGAGAAATATTAGTAGTTAAAATAGTACTGGGGAAATTATAGCAGTGAAAATTGTACTGGGGGAATTATAGCAGTGAAAATTGTACTGGGGGAAGTTAGTAGTGAAAATTGTACTGGAGGCAATCATAGTGACAAATATACTGGGAAAAGTGATAGTTTTGAAAATTGTACTGGGGGAAATCATAGGGACAAATATACTGGGGGGAATCATAGTAGTGAAATTTTATTTGGGGAAATCATAGTGAAAATTGAACTGGGGGAAATCATAGGAGTTAAAATAGTTCTGGGAGAAACTGTTGCAGTAATAATTGTCCTGGAGTAATCAAAGTAGTGAAAATGTGCAGGTGAAGGTTGTATTAGTGAGATGGTGAATACTGCCTCATGATCAGCTTCCAGTCATTCTCAGCTCAGAAGGTATGGAGTTAATGTGATATTTCACAGACATGAAGATGCGGTTTGGTAGTGGAAGACAACATATCAACTATTGTTACTACACGTCTCTACTTTTGTCCAAATTATAAGCACCAATGGACATACAGTCGACTCAGAATAGGTCCAGAGCACTTGAAGCTGGCCAACTGAGGATTGGGAGGTCAAATGTGAAACCAGATTGTGTGTCACTGTACCCCAAAGGATGGGTCCGATCTCCACTGGTTTGACGAGGTCGGACTGGATTATTACAGGAGGCCATAGTATCAGAATATTGCTGACTGTGGCATAAAACAGCATGAAGTCACTCCCCAGTTATATGACAATTAATTTGCTGTACTGCTGTCAGTGTTTTCAGCATACACACAAACAACTGACAGACAGACCCCGGAGATGTGCGGATATGTTGACAACCATTTGTCAGGGCTAGATGGCTATGAGATGGCCATGGGCTTTTGACATGTATCCCCCATGGGTAAAACTGTTGTTGTATAGCACTACCACAAGCAAAAGGGGCACCACCTTCACTAGTAAATGTATCACTATAACATTAGACGCTGTTCTCCAAACCTAGTCACTTCTAATTATATCAGTAAAGTTAGGTCAGATAAACTGTTTCCTTGTGTGAGGGATTACCCTTTGGCAAAAGTGACAAAAATGATAATTGAAATTATTGTTAAAGTTATTTTTTTAACATCTTTGTAATTTTGTTTGCAGTTAGTATTTCAAGGAGGATTTGTCTGGCCTAAAATGTACTATTTGAACAACTTACTGGTAATGTCAGGGTGGTTGGGTAGACAGTGATTAAAGGGTTTGCTCGTCATGCCAAAGACCCGGTTCGATTCCCCACATGGGTACAATGCGTGAAACCTATTTCTTGTGTTCCCACCGTGATATTGCTGGAATATTGCTAAAAGAGGCATAAAAACATACTCACTCATGCACTCACTTAATAATTCAAGTTGCCATCTTGGTTTACACTGCATTAGAAATTTTGAAGTCTCTGATTAAGATGTGTATTTAGGTGACAGTGACAGTGAAGTGTATTGTACAATATTATCTGACTGGAAGACGACAGGTACCTCAGTTTAAAGCATGACAAGTCAAGAACACCTTTGAAATATATCCTTTTGTTTGGTGATTGGGTTTATGTCTCACTTCATCTGTATTACACACCTCCTGTCAGTATTATACGACATTGCACATAAGAACATTTGGGAGATTATTTGTTTTCTTTTCAGATAGAAATTAGGCGATCAATGTGTTTGTTTGTTGGTTTACAGATCTTCTGACATGAAACATAACTCTAATGGTATGGAGGAAAATAGTATTCAGATGAACTATCACTCAAATTAGTTGGTGTTGAAAAGAATATTCATTGCGAAATACATGTCAAAGTGTTTACAGCAAAGTTTGAAGAGATGTAGACTGAATAGAGTTATGGCCTTAGATATGACATATCCAGTTGCCAGTTGTTTAGGCAGAACATGGGCGGATACAGAGGGGGTTTGCGGGGGTGCGCACCCCCCCCCCCCCTTTTTATTTCGAAAAAAATCTTTATTTCTGTATAAATTACCACCAAAGACAATAAATAGATCTTAATTGTGCACACCCCCTTTTCAAAAAAGCTGTATCCGCCCATGCAGGAAAATAACGACATTCATGTGCCTCTTTTGCCTCGAAGTTCAGATAGTGTGACCACAGTAAAACATGTTTATATGAAGACAAAGGTTTTTTTTGGCCACTGACGTTGTAAGAACAAACAAAATAATCTGTAAACCAACTAAAAAAATTAATCGCCTTATTTACATTTTGTTGTTTGATCAGAATTATTGTCTAAACTGAATGTGATTTGCAACTCTTTAACAAGACAGGTGAAAGCACCCAGTAAGCCTGTACGTAAATGCATTGTGGACAATTAGTTCTAATATTAGTTCCTGATTATTTTGGAAAGTCTTTATTTGTGTGACAGCTATCACTGATATTAATTAATATATAAAACTTTCATGCACAAAATAATTTTGGTTCTGTCCTTTCTGTTTGGTAAAGGTCTTCATTGAGAAATGTGTAATGTCTTGTAACGTTGTAGCTGTGACTTAGCTAAATGTTCCTGTTTATTGCCATATTGACTGTTAGCGTTCTCATTGTAGATGGCAGCAGTCCTGTAGACAGAGAGAACAGAACAAATGGCGACAGCAAATCTGAGAGTGCAGGACCTACTTCTGACCAGGACGACCGACTCAAATCTCCGTCCAGCAACGCATTAGGCGAGATGGATAACCTTGGTAGTGATGCACACAACAGCAAGGCCGGGCTTGACCGTGTGTTCTCTGACGAGTCTGCATGTACAGTTATAGATAGGGTAGATTCGGTTAGGGATGGGAAATTCAGCAGACGCAAGATGGAGAAGCCCCGCAAGCGTAAGAAGGAGTTTGAACTTGAGGACGACGACACTGATAAGGAGAGTGACATGATGAAATCTCAGAGGATTATCAGTGAGGACTCTCTCTGTGACTTTGTGGGCAATAATGTGGCTCAAGACTTATCCCCAGGCACCCGGAGCCCGGACATAGGTCCAGTGACTATGACCTCCGCCACTCCACAGGACCTGTCTCTCAAGGCTAATGTTGTAGGCAGCCAGTCTGTTGTGGCCATACATGGTGAAGTTCATTCAGACTGGAAGAGGGGGAAGGACATGGACTGCCATGGTGCAGTCACTCCCAACTCTGTGAAGGAACTGGAGGCAGTCATGAACCGCCATCTTCCTTCTGTTAGTAACCAAAGTGAATCCACTCAACATTTACGCTTTAGTGGTCAATCTGCGCAAAAAAAGTCCACAATACAATGGATAGGTTCCCAACATTCTAATAACAATACTGGGGAAACTCTCCCGGCTACAAATCTGCTCAGAACCATCTATGCCAATCGCGAATCTGTCATCCGCACAAATACCCGACCAGCCAGTAATTACTACAGTGAAATGCCAGTGAACATGCTGACCCCACCGGGCAGTGATGCATTCAAGGAACAGCAACAGCAACAGCAGCAACAACAACAGCAGCAGCCATCATTCATCTCCACAAAACCAACTGTAGCCAGCGGCAGCCACTACCCCAATGCCACCATGCCAAACTACACCACCACCCCTCTCTCTGTCTCTATGCCCAGTACAGCTGTAGACTCCTATGGCATGACTCCACCATCATCTGTATCACCTCGAGACAAACTGCAGTCGCCATTTGGTGACGTAGGAACGTATAATGAGTCGGGTTCAGCCTCGTGTGGAAACCTGGCTCCTGATTCATCTTCTTCCAGATTGGCGGCCAAACAAGCATATCAGTTGTCATCATCATCTTCGGAGTTCTCCACCTCCAAGTCAACCCCATCATCATCAGCATCTTCAGCAGCAGCAGCAGCATACTACAGCGTGTCATCCTTTCATAACAACCATACCTATCCTGAAGTTAACCACAATGGCTCTGCAGGGATCAACTCGTACGAGCCATGTTCCCGATCAGTGTTGTCATGGTACCCGGTTTCGTATTCATCATAACATTGATAATGTATCGTGTTTATCACATGGTTCCGGTGTAGAATATTCTGCTGCAGTATGGCATGTCTAGTCCTCAAGAAGACAATACACTGACATTTGTGAAGCTTTAGAGCACCAATCCACACAGGTTCTGTCTAAAGACCTCTTGAAGTCAAGGATCTTTTTCTAAACCAAACTTTTATTTTATGGTCTGAGACAAAAATATTCAACACTCTGCCATAAAAATTGTTATATCTGTATGAATCTTCTTAATAATAAGGATGCCATCTTTGGTTTCTGTACCAAAGTTCTGTACAGACTGTGAAATAGCATTTAAGATAATATTCCCAACTTTGAAACTGCTGTTGCCAAATATGGAAGGATGAGCATGCATCTGTGTCACATGACATGTATATTATGATTCCTGATTTGTACATGAATATTCATCAGTGAGAATCAACAGTCACCACGTCTATTTTATTAGATACACATTTGTCACATAAAAATCAAAGTATTCTATGATTGTCGGTGTTGCGATGTTCATGCATATGTAAGTGTATAGCATAATTGCTAGATCATAACCATATTTGACCAAGTCTCATCTTTCCTTAACACGGCACAGGGGCAATGGGGTAGTGCTTAACACATTCACTCATCACGCTGAAGGCCCAGGTTCAATTTCCCATGGAACAATGTGTGAAGCCCATTTCTGCCGTGGTATTGCTGGAATGTCGCTAAAGACAACATAAAACCAAACTCGCTCACCCACTCCTTTTGGCAAATCAGATACCAAACTGTTTTGACGTGAAAAGCTGCAAGATGTCACATATCAATGTTAAGTAAACCTTGAAGTGATACGCCTGTACACACTATACACTATACTGTATGTAGTACAGATGTAAAAACCTGGCAATTTCTGTGCAGTGGTTAGTGTGTTTCAAATGTAAATGTCATAGGCTATGGCATTTTAGCTCATCTTTGACCAAAACATTGAGAATCATGACATCACATGCGATCATGTTCATCATATTAATCCTGTAATCATGACTATCTTGTAATATGTTGATCTTGCGATCATGTGTCTAAGAATTTAGAAACTTATGCTTTATTTTCAAGAAACTTAGAAAGAAGAATTGAAACTTGACGTCTGCCTGAGATCCTCAGCTTCACTCTTGCCTTTTGCCTTTCTGCATTATTGAGGGGCAGTTGGGTAGGCTAGTGGTTAAAGCGTTCGCTCGTCACGCCGAAGACCCGGGGATACAATGTGTGATGCCCATTTCTGGTGTCCCCCTGCCGTGATATTGGAATATTGCTAAAAGCGGCGTAATACTAGACTCACTCACTCACTTTGCATTATTGTGTAATGCAGCTATTCCCCCGTCTTTTCGTGCCTGTTATCTCTGGAGTATTGCATTCACTGGATCAAACTGCTTCTGTTTTTAACATTTCCACACAAACTCTTTCAACATGTAGAAATTAAGGCTTACTTTCAAGCATTCTTTCTGTAAATTGCCCAAAGGAAATTTCTTTTGACACAACTTTAGTGATTAGTACCGGGTAACGATATTGCGAGGATTGAGTTCTTGTGTCATGCAGCCCATGAAGTGAGGCTACTCTTAACTCATGGTGTGAAGTGAGGGAAAGCTTTAACATTTGGCCAAACCTTTAAGTTTTTGGATTCATGGATTTATTTACAAAAAGTTCTTGTTGATAAATGGGGGAAAGACATGGCTTAAAAACATAAAAGAATTGGTTCTCAGGCAATGACTTTGAAAATAGTGTGGGTGGGCGTTGGCTTTTTTTTTTGCTTGTTTAAACTAGCATGTAATCAAATAATGAAGTGTGAAGTGAGGGAAAGCTTTAACATTTGGCCAAACCTTTAAGTTTTTGGATTCATGGATTTATTTACAAAAAGTCCTTGTTGATAAATGGGGGAAAGACATCTTTGGCTTAAAAACATAAAAGAATTGGTTCTCAGGCAATGACTTTGAAAATAGTGTGGGTGGGCGTTGGCTTTTTTTTTTGCTTGTTTAAACTAGCATGTAATCAAATAAACAGTTGTGTACCATCAAACTGGGAAAGGGCCTCCCTACATAAAGAACCATACAAACTCCTATTGCCACCATGACTATAACATACACAGTAAACCAGTGTGCATGTAAGGGGAAGTAACTGTGTGTTAGATTGGATTGCATTGTTTTTAAGTATTAGGATTTGTTTTTTGTTTTTTTTAAATGGAAATAAAACGAAACGTGTGTCAGACTTTATGATGATGAGGGCAGTCCCTGTGAACCAAGACTATTATTTCTTTTAGCCTTTTATATTTTTTGTTCTTCAGTAAGTTAGGTTTATTTTGATTGTTTGCATTCAGCAGAATTAGAAACAGAGCTACAGATAAGCAGCATATTTGTGTAAAATACCCCCCAAAATATTAAAAAAACAATTACTTTCAATAAACTTGCACACAGAAGCACATGCATTAAATGAAAAACTGAAATGTATAAAACCAGCACGCGTAAATACCCAATGAAAATTTTTCAGCATGCGTAAAAAGGAGCTAATTTCCGAAACACAATTACGAGCTAATTTACTTTCCGAGTCAAGCCTATATATTTAAGCCTTTAACAGTTATCATGATTATATACATCTAAAACATTATTTCATTTTTTTTAAATCTTAAAATGTTCACTCTTTTGGGGAAAAACCCAATTATGAATTATGAGTTATGAATAGATGAGTGAAAAAAAATTGGTTACCCAATGAAAAATGTAATAACCCAATTAAAATAGAGTAAAAACTCAGTTGCTCAAAAAGTTATCTGCAGCTCTAGAAAATAACCAAGGAGGTACAAGAAATTACAGATTATCTGTCCCTCGTGAATGAATGGTGTTTATCCTGAGACTTTGGCAAGGGACTTACAACATTAACTCTTGAGGGTCAGATAATCTGTGATCTCGAGTAGGTTATTGTTTTTATTACTCATTGACATTTCAAGAGAGAAAATGAAGAAACAAGTGTATGAAATATCAACCCTACATAGAAATGTCACTGTGAGGTAATCAATTTGTGATGTCACAAACAAAGGATGACATCATATATTTTTCTCAACAATGAAGCATTGTGACATCATATGGCTTCAATTGACTTATCAGCATTGAGAATACTAAAATGCACATATGCAAATATTTGAAAGTTATTACACACGATCATTCTACCCTTTGGGTAATTTTAAGAAAGTAGTGCTTTAGAGATTATGTCCAACATTTGAGGATCTGTAAACTATGTATTTTTCAAAAAGTCCTGCCTTATTAGCAATCACCATCAGTTTGTTGAAACTCTTTCAGATGCAAGTTTCAGTTTCTTCTTTCAACGTTTCTTGACTTCACCAAAGAGCCTGTTAATATTGTACATATGTCCATAGATAATCAGTGATCACCAATAATATGAAGACAGTTACTACATACACAAGTATGTGTTGTTAGATGTCAACAGGCATGAAAACAGGAATTATATCATCTTCCCGGGGCAAGGACGTTAACTGACTATAAAAGTCCAGTTTCCTCCCTTACCAAACTAGGCTGGAATAATGTAGTTACGTTTTGGATGGTCGAACGAGACTAAACATCCAGCTCATAAACAACATGGATTTCAACGTGCAAATTTTGGTCAACTGCAGGATTTGCAAAACACGTGTACCGTCAACTGGGCATTGACAGATATTTTGCAAATCTTTTCATGTTTTTAATCAAGGTGCTCAAGTGTTTTGATGCATTTTGCAGAGTAAGACCGATCTTATTACAATATAGATCTTTATCATGATCAGTTCATCTTGCCTGTTTGACGCCATTTTGTTTGAAGCAAATGCAAGTGATATCAAAGATTGAATCTGACTGGTAAGTAGGAATATAGAAAGAACATAACTTGTACTAGCCACTGGTTGCGCTACGATCGAGCCTGGAAATTCCAGCCTAGTTCCTCAAGGGTGGAAACTGGACTATTATGGTCATTTAAAAACCCTTGCCTCTGGAAGATGGAATGACATCAACATGGTCAGTGCAAAATATTTGGACCATGTTGGTCAACGTATTTTCTTACAAAATGTTTGTTTCTAATATTTGTCAATATTTAAGTTTTTGTTGTACCATCTTAATATAGAAGGAAACAGACATGACATTATCCTGACATTATATGGGAAAGCAGTTTATGAACATGTTGATACTATTATGGTAATATTGACTCTTTGAATAACAAAAGGATATTCTATACACCAAGACAATGGTTTTGATTTGTGTAGTTTGATTGTGTATGAATAGAGACCAGGAACTTTAATGTGATAAGCATGATTGTCATCTACCAAAGTCACACAATAAACTGGTTGCAGTGTAAGCCCTATGGTAACCCCGCCAGTCATGCTGTTGATAATGAGTGTAGCCAAACATCAGTCAAGCCAAAGTCAACTGTGTAGTAATAGCGTAGAAACAAGCTAGTGGTAGTGTTTCTTTTCACTTTCTAACTAGTGTTCCGAGTGTGATCACATACATATAGTTCATCAGCCTAGAAATGTGCTGTAGTCTTTGTAGAAGTCATCAGCCTCTTCTTGTCCAATAATTCCAGATGTTTTAGAAAGATATGCCCATTGTTGCAATAGTGAAAAGGTTGAACAAGAAAACATGTAGGGTATTTGTTTATAGTTTGTTTGTGTACCATAGTGGTCAGACCAACCTTTTTAAGAAGCAGATATAATACACTTTCCTGAGGTGTTTTTAAGAGACAACTTAAATGTTAGAGAACTAGGCTAGGCCGAGTGGCTTTCCTAGGAAGCATTGTTTGTATCAGATCCGTGATGTACATCAATTTATCAGGTATTGGTTAGCCTATTACACAGGGCCATTGCCTCAGTGTCACACAAGACACTTGTTACAGTGTTTTGACTGAGATTGGAAATGGGCACCAGACCATCGAGAGTATTTCAGGAAAATGTTTCATATATTGAAAACCACAAATGCTGAAATTTCTATTTCCCTTATTAAGTCTTAACACGTGGGTGGTTGTGTCGCGTAGAGGTTTAAGCGTTCGCTCGACACACTAATACCCTTTTATGATTCCCATGTGGATACAGTGTGTGTTGAGCCCATTTTTAGTGTACCCTGCTGTGATATTTCTGGAATATTGATAAAAGCAGCGAAAAACCATACTCATTCATTCATTTAACACAGGTAAAGGCTTGTTGTCAGGTATGAAGCTATCTGTCTGTGTGGTAAATGGTACCAGAGTTTTCCTGCATATGCATTAGGCCATATTTGCTCACCTAATGCAAATACGTTGCTACATTGCTTGAAATTTTATATATTTACTTTTAAAGTAAACCGTAGTGGAGAAAAGAAGGGTTGTGATTTATGCATTTCATATAAAACATTATTTTTGCATTTGAAATCCTTGAAAGCATTTACTACAAAGATTGTACATTGGCGCAAATCATGGAATACAATGTACTAAAACTTCATTGTTGTACAGTGTATGTAGTTACACTCCAAGGTATTGTATTATGTAGATCATTGAATCATATAATATCTTAGCATAATTCATTAGTTTGTAGTTATGGGCGGAGTCAATGAAATTGACCCCAAGTATGCTATTTATACAAGATGCAAGGGTACTGTTGTACAAAACAACCTTAGCGCTACGACTGTCGCAAGTCTATGTTAAGGTATGGGGGTTACGATCACCTTAGCGCTATGTTAAGGTATGGGGGTTAGGATCACCTTAGCGCTATGTTAAGGTATGGGGGTTACGATCACCTTAGCGCTAAGGTCGCTTTGTACAACGGCACCAAGGTCATTAGGATGTGCTTTATCCTCAAACTTTGTGAGGCTAAATTTCTTCTGCTTTGGATTAGTTCCAAAGAATCATATCCATTCCGGACACAGCAATGGCAGTTCTAGACAAGCATTTGTTCTTAAGTCATGGCATTGCGCTACGTTGTTGGCATTTTTTTAGTTTACTATGTTATTCACAATAATGTTGAGCAATGTTACAGGTCTTCGTTACCATGGTTACAGAGTGTTCTGTTGCATTCTTCATGACAGTGTTACAAACGCTGTGGGAATGATTATAGGTGTAAAGATTGAGGGTTTGTGTTTTCTTTCATTGTTTGAAAAAATTATTAGGCAATCAAAACAATCATGACAAAAAATACTGAGGCACTTAGGGACAAACCATTTGATATTTGGGAGGGGGTTGGTGTGTGAGGCGAGGTAGGAGTTTTATTAAAAATATAATATTTCCAGAAGATAATGTGGTCTCAAGTTTCAGAGAAGTATTGTTCACTGGATGTGGTAGATGTCCCAGAAAAGAGTTTCATCAAAGACAAAAGTTGCTTCTTTCTTGTCGCAGAGAAAAAATGTATGACTTGAAGCTTTGACTGAAAAAATTTATTGCCTAATAAAATTCCAAGCCTTCCAACTCCTCCTCGCCCTCATAAACTCCCCCTCTCAAATTTGAAATGGTCAGTCTCCTTGACCTGGAGAAGAGGAAGAAAGTAAATGGAACAGATTTTTATTATCAGTGTTATTCTTATAAACTTTTATCAATGATAGTAATACTATGACAGCAGTTACATCTGGCACCAACCGGTTTCTTTCTCCGTAACATTTCCAAAAAAATATGAAGTTTGTTTCTATTATTAAGAAATAGGATTTGTTATCACTTGAATTCATGGATCAAGTTGGAAATATTCAGATCATAAAGCTTGCCTAATCATGTTATTTGTTTTTGTTAATTACTTGTAAATTTTATTAAACATTTACAGCTTTTAGCAGAGTAATGCTTATTCTCT